CACAACTTTAAGCTAAGTAACAAAAGCTTTGTTGTATCTGGAAAATGTACCCATTGCGATTCCTTTTTGATGCGTTTCTATGGGAGCAGTTGGAGCAAATTATTAGTAATGATGGTATTTGGTCTTTGTTTCATGTGAATGTAACTTTGAGACAAATATTTACCCAGCCCAAATGATTTTGTGAATTTTTTAGGCTTCCAAAATGAGCCATTTTGACAGGGAGGCCCGATCCCTGCTGGCACCACCTCAAGCTAGTGTATCCCGGGAAACAACTTCTGCTTGCCTTTCATTAAAAAAGGGGGCAAACAATGTGGAAATAAAAAAAAATATGGGTTTATTACAGCACAATAAAATATTTTTCAGACATTCTGCCATCTTGTGAGGAGAGTACTATGGTCTAGTTTCCGTAATGAGAAGGCATCCCAGTAGTGCACAGGGATAAGAAGTATTTTCTGGTCATGAAGACAAGTCTAAATTCTGTTCTCTGTAAAGCAACTTCAGCTAAAATCTAACAACCTTTTAGTTGGCATTATTTTTTTTGTTGGAACCATTGTTCCCATTGGTGCAGAAACTTGCTTTGAAATCACTACGTGCGGTTATTCGGTGGACAGGACAAAGAAAAAGCACAGAGACATTGTATTTCTGGGGCAATGTGGGGAATCAGTACTAGGGTAAGGACAGCTTTTTTGATAATGGGGGCAGCAATAAAGTAGCTGCTTAGGAATGATGACAAAATACAGACAAATTAATGAACTGAGAGAGCTGTCACAATTTTCATAACAGGGTAATTGAAGGCAAAATAATTAAGGATAACAACGTTGTCACAGTATGTGCAGGAAAGTCCATCTTTAACTTTTATTGTTTTTGTCTTTTTATAAAATTAACTCAAAATCCAAATGTGTGCATGATTAGGTGCTGAAATATTCACGCAATATTCTATATATGTGTATTACTAATATAATAATATGTCATGTATAAATACATCCGACCATCACAACCTCCTCACATTTCTTGGAATTCTGGAAACTTAGTACAAGTACAAGACTCAAATAATTAAATCTGAAAAATCCTCCAAATCTCATGTTACAGAGTCCTCCCCTAAGTGATCAATTTTATTACACCGCCAACTGTATTGGAAGGAGCCTTCCGAGCAGAGAATAGCACATCTGTGGCTCTGACTGGTACCTGCCAGCCCAGGACAACGAGGAAGTAGAAGCCCTGGGCTGTGGAAGAATGCTACTCTTCACAGGAAGCACACACTGGCAGTGACGGGACAAGCTCCCATCCATCGCCAATTTATTTCAATCCTGAGTGATTTAGGTCCATTTGGGCCTCTTGTGGATTCAACTCGCACCTGTCATTTGCATAATTAAGCTCCGGAGCGGTTGTAAAAGACAGCCATTTGGTGTATTAAATTCACACCTTATCAATCAGGGGGAGCGCCAAGATGCATGAGGACCTACTGTCTCTTGGCTTCCTGGCTTCATTTGAAATGCTAAATGCAGCCTTTTCTCCCCTGGCCCGGGACCTGGGACTAGCAGCTTCTTAGCTAAAGTACACGTTAGTTGCCGTGGTCAGACCTTTGACAGCTCCCCCCCTCCCCTCCTTATTGCGTCCCCCGGGGGCTCAAATCATCAATCAGTCCCCTACTAACTTCTGTCCAACTCCCTGACAGTGGAGATGGATGGTGCCAGCGTCTACAGGATGCTGTATCCTGTCATTAATTCTCTTGTTAGCATGCACCGATAGCAGCAAGATAGAGCCTTGTTTTATCTAGTTTTCCACCAAACAGACGCCTCTCGCTTTCTCTGGTCGAGGGTCAACAGTTAATCATTTCCCAGCCACTGGTTACTTAGTGCCACAATGATGTGATGTGTCAAAATCGGACAACATACATTCCCGGGATTGAGCGGGAACAAAGACGCCAATGTCCCCGCACAAGGGCCCTCTCTCTGTCCCAAATGACTCCGTGGCTCCACGGCCGCCAGTGGCCAGTGCTAAACAAGACCATCGGATGAATGGGGGCTATTTTCTCAGCACGCACTGCTCCGCAAAAGGCTGAACCCGTGGCAGGCTGCGGGGACACTTCAACTGGCCTTTTTCAAAACCCATTACACTGATACCAGTGAACGCAGCAGGCGGGGGGAATGGGGTGGGGAGTGACATTTGCTGCCAAAGATTTGCCACACAAAGAGTTAAAGACAGACAGAGGGGTGGGTGTGGGGGGGTGAAAGAAAAGGGGTCCCTCATTGCTGACGGTGATGAATGAGTGGATCACTACACGTTCTTGCGTCCACACGGGGGGGGGGGCTCTCAAATGACATGACTGACAGCTCAACTTGCTTCTCTCCACCTGCACTCGCCCCCAGGCGGCATTTCTTTTAGTTGGCGGCCATGTTGTAATCACAGGACATGGCGCACTGCTTGGTTGGATGGTATATCGTCCGAAAATCAATTGCAATACAAAATATTATTGTAATAAGGAAATTTCACTACCACTGTTCTAAACATGATGTAATATCGCAACAATGGAAGAAAAGCCTTCCAAAGGGCAACGGACCTTTCATTCCAAGGATAATCGGACAGTGAAATTGGAATGGGAAAAATATCCTTGTAAAATGGGAGTAATATCCTTAATAAATTAAAGAAATCAAATTAAGCCGAACAACTGGCACAATAAATGAAATTGACTCATACAGCGCAGAGGTATATAACAGTAACTGCTTAACAGACAATATCCTGCCCATCCGTAAGATGGTAAAAATAAGCATTAACACATGATGCAAAATATCAATTGATTGGTTCTAAGTTAGATATAGATAACAAAGAACAACACACAAGAGCCGTAGATGAGAGGACGATTACGTAAAAATTAATATTAAACGATGAGTGAATATACTCCTTATTCTCATCCCCCCCCCCCCCCCCTCCTCCACCTGAAGTTGTAAACCTAGGGAAAACACTGTATACTTATTGTCGCTTTGGAAAACAGCGCCTGCTAAATGACATGTAATGGATATTTATAGGATACTTTATAGTATATACTAACAGTAAGTATACTACTGACAGTTAATATATTGTCAATTTGAAGAAAAAAAAATTGCCTTAGCGAAAGGTGGTCAATTGTTATTTTGTGTGTTTTTTTTAAATGTATCTGTTGAGGCACCATTTAGGCACCGCTATCAGAAAACACCCAAACGATAGAACACCCCCCCCCCCCCCCCCTATTGGAATTACGGGCTTTGCATTAACTTTATCAAGCTCCCTTTTTTAAAATCTCAAAATGATTTATCTGTTAAACAAGTTTACACGGTTGCATTGTTACCCCTCTGTGTTTTGGAGCACACTTCGTCTGCTAGAAGCATACTGAGCCCTTTATACTAAAGGTGCAGCCTCACCCTGAGGCACCACTATACAAAGATGTGCTAACACAAGTTGGTCCAAGAGTCCAAATGTCAGGATTTCATTTTTTTTAACAGTCACGGATACTTGGACTGTTTCGTCCAACGGCAACGGCTCTGAATGGCTTTTTAGATTGTGCTAGGGGAAACTACTGAACGGACGATTTAACCTCAGTGGAGCCGCTGGAAGAAGTGCTGATGCTGCACCGTGATTCTCATTTTATATAGATTAGCTACCCCTTAATGCAAAAATGCCTCTCATGCCTCGGTGGAGATGAAGCTCATAAAAAGGTGCATTGTCAAGACTGGAATGTGATCCTCGCGCAGACTTTAAACAACCTGAGGGCCGGTCTGTCGCACTGCCGTCTATCTCTTGGTATTTGTTTTAGATGACACGCAAGCAGATTGATTAACAGGGAAACAGTCCACAGTTCGCAGGGCTCTCCGCATCAATACACGATGAGGAGCGGTGGCTAGGATGCCTTTGCAGTCGGAGCTGTTGTTTGTTCTCCCGGTGCATGCAAAACCGTGTGCTTTCTGCCCATTGAGGTGCGCAACTGTATTTTCCATCCATACATATTAAAATTACACCAAAATATAGAATTAGCTCCTTGCGGTTGAACCAGGGAGAGTCTGGCTAACATCGCAGACGATGCGAGGCGGGCCGCGTTGCTCTATATTACATGACCTAATACATTTCATTAACGCACATCCCTCGGTAGGGTCCCTAATGGATGACAGTGTGGCATAAAAGCTCGTCTGCTAGGGACACTAATTTGTTCTTAGACACATTCCATTCAATTATTGCTGGCTGCTGCTCCTCATAAGCTGCTTAGATCGAGGTTGCCCAGCAGAAGAACAAATAAAAGCTTGGCTGACAGGGCAGGCCACTTAAGTTGTGTGACCCCAACTCAACCCCCTTCTTAATCCACATTGATTTTTATCTTTCAAGTCAGGTGCCCGCTGGAAACAACCCTTTGAGTGACAGTGAGCACGTTATTGTTAATTGTAGCGGCACGATAAGGCACCGCAACAAGGCAGGAGTGAGCTGCGGCAAAGGCTGTGTTTGCCCTCCCCGTTATGCTTCTTCATAAATATCCCCGAGGCCTTAAATGCCAAAGAGTGGACGGCTATTTGTTTTGCCTCTTTGTCCTAAGTCGTTTCGTTCCGGGGGTGGAACAATACGGAATAACATTGGCCGTATTTCTTCTAGACCTGTTTGATTGTCCTTGTTCCTTATCAGCGAGGAAGACATCAGAGACGTCGGGCTAAACTTGAGTTGTTGCTTAATCCCAGTGTCAACACTATCACGGCGATAACGAGCCTCGCCATCAATTAGCACCTCTGTTATTACACTGTTAGGCCTCAGTATTTTTTTCTCAATATCTTTACTGCTGTCAAATCAGCTGCTAAAATCTCATTTGCCAACAAAACTATGGAGCCAAATTGCCATTCACATGCTTTGCCTAATTATATCTCAAATATTCTTCAATCCAAGGCCGCCACTGACACATTTCTAAAAGCTAAGTTGACACAAAACAACTAAGATAAAGAAATAAAATTATTACTAAATAAATTTAAAAAAAAAGAGGTACTCACGTTCACACGCGTCTCCTTTCTGGTGAAATCCAGCCTTGCATATACATTTCCCAATGGGCACGAGCCACTCCCCTTCGGCGCTGCAGTGCATCTTGGGAGAGTTGTCGGCCTCCTCCTCAGCGTCGTTCACGCACACCCCTTCCACCTCCACCAGCGAGGAGAACTCCGACCCCGTCACAGTGTCGGGGAATGTGGCCAAGTTCTCGATGATGGACCAGCACTTCTTGTAATATACCTTGACCGAGACCAGGGCGATGCACGCCCCCACGTCCTGGAAGGCCAGGTAGAAGCCCCGCCTGGTCAGGGGGCCGATGATGCGCACCTCCGTGTTCAGCTTCATTTTTCGCTCGCCCAGGTCGCCCTGGGTGAAGCTCTCGTCCGCGGCGATCGTGTCGATCTTCACATACTGGTTCTCCCGCAGGCTCCGGCCCACCTCCGAATCCGTTTCCTGGTAATACAGATTGAACGTCTCCTTGCAAGTGCCCACCACACCAGGCAGGCTGTTACAATCCCTCAAAGTGAACTTCAGTTCCACAAAAATTCTCTGGGCATTGCCCTTCTCTATCCAGTTAGTCCGAAGCCAGTTGTTCTGATTGGGCTCCATGACTTGGCACACCTGGTATGTGCGAATGGGCGTGTAGTTCTCATCCAAACCGCTGATCTCTTCCCACTGGAAAACAAGCAGACGGTGTTGAATTAACGCATCCACTTGAGGAGATTGCCAGAGAGATGTGAAAGACCCTAATGACTGGCAATCGAAATGAAGGTATCTACTTAGATATGACTGTGGCGATGGTATAAGCAATATAGTAATTTCAGACTTTTTCTTTTCTACTGTGCAGTAAACGGCCGTGAATAAAGGGGCATTAGCCCGTTATCGCGAGAAAATCCCTGACGAAAGCCCGAGCTGATGTGTATCTGCTCCTGTTCACATTACTTTATAAGTTTCATACATCAGACAAGCACATCGGACATGGGTTGCCCAAGGCCCTTTGTCCTCCGAATGTCAAAAGGCCGGGGGAACATTCTTTAAATTTGGAAGTATCTACCATTGGTCCTTATGTCTCTTCCAAAACGCACTCCTAAATATTATTATTCCTGTCACAGATGTGAGACATCGGAGAGGGAGCTGGAAGAAGAAAAAGGCAAAGATACGGAGCGCACCAGTGTGTTGCAGACATTCCGCGGACTTACCCCATTGGGAGGATAGGAGATCCACTCCAGGTCTGTCTGCTGTGCCTTGGAGTCCAGCAGAATCACTAGTGACAGGGAAGCAAGAGGCAGGTGGTTAAATCTCCCCGAACACCAGGACTGCGTATTACTGACAGGCCACACATCGATACCTATACCCCGTGACCTAATTCCTAACAGCAGCTAAAGCTAGAAAATATATATATATATATATATATATATATATATATATATATATATATATATATGTGTGTATACGCACACACACACACACACACACACACACACACACACTTGGATATATATGCTATGCAGCACACAGGTGCTCGTGCCTGCGGGGGGGACTTTTTGAAGAACAAATGAAGACACTGACAGTGCGCTAGGAGAGGATATAAGGAGCCTTAAAAATCCCCACACGCGCATTGGAACGTGCCGGAAATCATTGCGCGTAATATTTAAGCCTATTTCTTTTTTTCTAAGCATTCATTTATTACAACCCATTCCTGGGAATGGAAGTTGTGGCGTTAAGGTCAAAGCTGATGCCGCAGCTGCTGTATTTCATCCCGACGTGTACACGGCACGCGCGCTTCAACTACGGAACATGTCCAGCTGAAAAGAATTCTCCGATGCGCCTGTGTCCTGTTCCGGAAGCGTTTGGCAGAGTTGCGGCAACCACGGCGGGTTCTTTTATTCTCACCAAAACATTAAGTTGTTTAATGTTTAATATCAGCAGCTAGTTAAAATTGTGCGAGGGGGGGAAGCGGCCAGGACGCATGGGCGAACATACAATAATATGTGCATATACATTATGCGTTTACAGGACGCTGAGATGGAGGTATGCTTAAATCTCGCATTCTAAGCTTTGTGCGCCGGGGAGCTAATTGATATCCGCCACAACATCCTCAGCGCGCACGGTAAGCACGCCGTAGGTCTCTAGGAGAGAAAATCCATACCTGTCCTTGTGATTTTCTGTCTTTACGCACGCAATAATTAAGATTAATTTCATCACAATCCCAGCGATGATGTTATACATCTATTTTCTTATGTTCATTTTTTTTATAGCTTTGGCTGATCAGTTTGGATTGTCTGGTTGCAGATTACGGATCCGCATCCCACCTTCCCTCCCCCCGGCAAGACACAGACAGTTAAGAGCCGAGGCCACTTTGAGGAGGAAATAACCGTCCAGAAAACTGCGTCCAGTTTGGGAAAGCTCACTCACTCCCCGGGAGGACGAGCTTGGCTCGGGCGCTGATTTTAGCCTACACACTTTTGTCGTAATGGATCCTTAATCTGTAACGAGTTGTACCGATAACGCTGAAGTAAAATATAATAAACACAATGTTTTTTTGAAACAGCAGGTCCCGCGTCTATTATCGTGTTTGTTGCCGTGCGTAACAGCCCCGAGAGGTCGCTCGGCGAACCGACCCGGGAACGTGGCGCTGTCATCCCCCGCACATCCCGGCCTCGTCCGACGGCGCCGGGTTTAAAACAAAAAAAATGAAAAGCGACATCCAGATATTTGTTAAAGCGTCGGCGTTGGTATTCAAAGGGGATATATGTATAAAACAAAGGGAGCCCCCTTGTGAATTGTGGAAACCTCCGGTGTCTTCACGGAAGGTCTTTCCACCGACGCGACGGGGATGAGAAGAGAGTCCAAACTTTGGGAACTTACCTTCCTTCGCGTTCTGTGCTTCTCCGCTGTCTACATGACAGCACAAATAAAGACAAAATGTAATCCACAGACACGGGGTGGACCAGGAGAGCATGGTGCTGCCGCGGATTTCTTTCTCCTTTTTTTCTCCTCTTTTTATTAATCTAGACCGTAACTCTCTGTGCCACCGCGTCGCGTGCTTCCCATTGACGACACTGAAACCGGCTGTATGTACAACAGCCTGCTGCTGCCCTCTCAAATAGCGCCCGCTGCCGCTGGGAGGAGACTGTGGCCGCGGCGGTGTCCGTCAACGAGACGGGCGGCGCGCTCCTCCAATGGGGGAGCGGAGAGTGAAAGCGGTCGGGGAGACTGGGGAGCCAATGGGCGCAAGGAGGTAGATCTTTTCTTTTCCAAGGGGGCGGGGAGTTGGTTGCGTGCATGGCGGAAGAAATGTCACAACTTCGTTCGGATATATTTTTGGTACGGTTGTTCTTAACACGCATACGCACGCACACCCACACTGCTTTAGAAGCGTATAACCAGAGCATTGTGGGAAGGCTAGAATACCGCCTATGATGCACAATGAGCCCCCACAGTGCACAAAGTTTGTTTAATTGTAGTTAAATGTTCATCTTGTTCATGCTTTTGGTCCTTTTTAAGAAAACAATTTCACACAAAAATGTTACCCATTTAAGGCGTTATGGTTATTTTTTCTATTTTCTTTCTTACTAGTACTGACACAATCAAAGCCCACCTCTTCTTGATTCATATGACATTTAATCACATATTCAAGACTTTTTTTTTCCTAGTAGAAGAACAGTGGCTAGGAAGAGGAGGAGGAGGAGGAGGGGAGCTGACCACCCTGTCACCGAGGCAAACCAGAAGGGCTCATCAGAGACCGTAGACCTCCCCCGAGGCCTTCAAGCCCAGTCTTCCATGATATGCAAATCTGCAACCGTTACTAACTTATATGTAAATATACATTTGCTGAAAATAACGTGAATATCCTCTGCCAGTATCAATCACAAACAAATGCAGTTATTGCTGTAAATGTCCAAATGTCACAAGTTTTCAAAATTTCAAAAGTTACCCAAAGTCTAAGCGTCTTATTGTTGTGTTCTGGAGGAATTATTGCCAATTTTTTATTTATTCAAAATATATTTAATGTTAGCGCCAAATCTGTGTAAAAAAACTGCATCAATAATTTTTTTGAGACATTTCCCATTTTTCCATCCATGTCCCCCTAAAAATATCTATTTTAGGCTCTTCGGTGAATCAGTTAAAGAGTTTTACGACAGAGTAAAAGTTTTTCCATTCTGCTCCTGCATTCTAATTTGCGACAGTGTCTTTAACATTTGAGCCGAATGGCGAGACACTAAATGGTGTTTTTTAATCCGTGGAAGGTCACCTTAAGTGAGCAAGAGTCCCACTGAGACGACAGCACCTGATTCATTATTGCTCTGCTGCTTGAGAGACTTTCACGGAGAAGATGGAGCAACCGCCGGGGGTCCTGAATAACAAACAAAGAAAAAACAACAACAAATAAACACAATTAAAAAGTCTAAAGTCAATTTCCAACTTTCGTGGATGACTTGAAATATCACTTAAAAATGTAAGCACAAAGCACAGCTCATTATCCCTTTACCCATAGAGCATTTGTTGCAGGTCACTAATTAATCTCCATTACCTCCCAACAAGCAAAACAGCTGTAATTATCGCCACAAATATTGATTAATAAACTGTGTACATACAAATGGACAGAAGGAGACAAGGACTCCCTTCAAGGTTTATTTACCTCTGCATTTCTATATTTGTCTGTTTGTTTGGCCTGTTTATTATGCAAATTACCGCTAATCCTTTTTGCCCTTGATACATTGCCGAGTCCTGCATGAAAGTGTTGAACTAATGATTGTCATATTATTCGGCATTGATGTAACCGTTGTCACGGTCAACGGTAACAGTCTGTGACACCATCACTGTACCATTATCAGTCAATTTATTACAAGTTTGGTTCTTATCTTATGCGTTTGTCCATTGTTCCCTTAGTCTCCGAAGTCCTCTGTAATGTTTCTGAGAATATGGGGATTTTAAGGAGCCGAGTAAACATTACAATTACATCATACCAAAGTGAAGACGAATGTATGTTCCCAGAGATTTGTTCAAATAGTGGACAAAGCACAGGGTCCACATTGACCCAGAGTAAAATATGTCTGTCTCTCTGAGCCACGTGGTTTCATCCCTCTCCACCGGTCACTCCCTTTACACTGCACAGGCACACACATACACTTTCACTTGTCACTTTCTGTTTGCGGGTGCACTTTATTTTTAACTTTTTATTTTTAAATTTTATTTTTTATTGAAATTCTTATTACGCTGTTGTTTTGCACTATGTTGTCTTATCTGTCTTGCTGTCCATTGTCTGCACCAACCGCCAAGTCAAATTCCTTGTATGTCTAACATATATTGGTAATCAATGTTCCTGATCCTGATAACCCAAAGCCAATGGGGCACTAGGATAGACCTGGTTGTTAGTGATCAGAAAAAATCGATTCGAAAAATTCGAAATCAGAAGAAAAACTAAATCCGAAAGAAATACGCTGCTTCTTTACGCTGCGTAATATTTGTGTTATGTGTGAAGGGACTAATGGAAAACATTTTATATTCATAAAAATGTATTGAGGTACACTAATCGCAATTGACATGAAACTGCCCTTGTGACAAAAAGGTAGTTATCCTGGCATTTTTTATTGTCAGTAGCTTTTTATATTTTCAACTCAAGTTATCATGAACACCTAATAAACAGTCATCTACGAATCCTTGTCTTATATGCTGAAATTATTGATGTTAGCCAATTTTTTTAGTGACCTCTAAAATGGGAAAAAAATACACCAGATGGATGCATGAAAAGAAAAGAGAACAGGGTCAATAGAAAACCATTTAATAAGTTAATAGCTGAATAGCTGGCCAGAACATATGAAGCGGACCTGTTTACTTTGCAGTATAACTGTGAAAGATCCATGGTACACCAATGGCAGCACTGCTGTTAACCTTCTGTCTAGTTCATCTTTTAACAAATCGTGCGAAAAATGACATATCCGCGTAATAAAATCATGGCGTCTGTTTCTTGTCCCTTCTGAATTTTCATGTTCCTGGGTTTCATCAGTGTCCTCGTTTATAGCTCCTTAGCGTCATTGGAAGCTGTCTGTTTCGCATCATTGTACCTGACCTAAACATGCTCGGTGTTGCTGTGGCGTCCTCTAATTAAAGGCCTCATATGGAAGTGACACTAAGCATTTAGAGCTCATTACGCTCGGCACCGAGGGTAACGAAGCCGCCGTCATCCAGCCTTATCACTGCCAAATTGATCTGCTAACAGTGGGCAAAGCGAGATTCTGCAACATGTGAAAAGTTGCTGCCGGAACTGTGATGCTTTTCGTGCCAGAGCTTCAGCACCGTGGGGGTGGGGGGACATTCTCAAGCTAATTTAGGTCCAACGGGGGCTCTGTCACACCGGGCAACAACGGGCAAGGGAGTACCCGTAGGAAGACCCAGCTGTTCTTACTGCAAACTGTGGACTGACACTCACCTAATGCACCCAGCGTGTTTAGGACTCCCAGCTGTGTAGTCACCACGCCAAATGTATCAAATTTCTTTAATTGTATGTTTTACAAAGAATGCTTTTGAGCTGACCGTTTATAATAGTTTGGAAGCTCCTGTCAAATTCTGTTCCGCCATGTTTTCTGTGTTGGATTTGAACAGAGACCTGTAATACAACCCTTTTTAACAACACAGGGGACAAGGGGAAAAGTCTTCGTCATTGCAGGGGACCAACTCTTCTTTTGTTATGGAGGAGATGTCAAGGATTTGATCAAACGTTCAATTCCGATAACAATGTGTACAACTGTGAAATAGAATCCACACAGACAACCGTTGAATTTGTTTTCCCTTTCCAGAGAAGTCTGTTAGACATTCACCCGGTGTCCTCATCAGCAGGCTGCACTTAACTCCTCTACCAGTGTTTCCTCCCCTCTAGGTTCAAATTACCCGTCTCAGACTGCTGCTGAGATGTGTAAAGAAGTTATGTACACAGTTGTATCTTGTTTCCGTGCACCCTTCTCAGGCTGTGTCAGTAAGTGTCGTCCACAGCCGGTGGGGCTGAACCAGGCGTCCAAGGTGGGGATGGGGGGGGGGGTCTGAAGTCTGCCTGTCAGACCATTCCCACCCCCACCCCGGAGGAAAACACCACTCAGAGCATTAATAGCAGGCATGAGAAGTGGCCCAGAGGCCCCTCGTCAAATGGCGGTTGTTGCAGCCAGGCAATTTGCTTCTTTTTATAGATCGGTAATATGGAAAGGCCGTCCCGGAGGAAATCTCAAGTGTTGAAAACTCAACTGGTATTGTTGTGGGGCAGCTCAAAGCCATTTGCACCTGACACCATTTTTTTGTTGATATAATCACATTCCTGCCAGTGTCGGTCGAAGCCGGTGAAGTTTTACAACGTAAATCACCAGAGAAGACTAATGACGCCACACAAAATTTCCCCTGTGTTTAAAACTCACATATGCCTTGAGTCACAATTAGAAAAATGGGTTCATCCGGATACAAGGAAGCACATCTGAAAGTAACGTCTCTTTGTGATCCAATTAGGAGATTCAAAGAGAGTGTGGTTGTATTTGTTGAACAGATTTCTGTCTGGAATGTTGCTCTAGTTTCCTAAGTTGAGCAGGCAAAGTTTTTTTCTTAGTGTTGCGTCTTAGTTAACAGGTCACAGGATGTGTGATATTGCAACTTTGTATTAGGAATATTTCATTGCAAACTCATTTTTTCCACAGCACGAACATAAAATATGTATTTTTGCTGTAATTAGTAACAACTGCAAGCCAGAATGAAAAATGAGTCGGCAACAGAACTAATGGAGCCTCAAATGACTCGACATTCTCATCATTAATAAAAGTAATAATTGAAGCCACGACGTATCCAAATTATAAACAAAACCACTCGTTAAACCAATCATTAAAATGCTTGTTAGATATGGCCATGCAAATGGAAATCAAAGGACGTTCTAATCAATGGGCCTTGCTCTCATAAGACTGCGGTTTTACTCCCGTTATTCCAGCATCATGGCTCTCTTTTGGGCTTTTCAGTGGTCCATAACGGCGGGATTGTTGAAATAGTTTGTTGACAAATGAAGATGGCCAGACGTCCACACTTATGGGTAACATGTGGTCGACTTC